TCAACTACTTATTATTAGTTTTCATTTTATTAATATTTTATTTAAAAATGTATAACTTCTAACTGCTAATTATTTATTGTTTTTTTATGAAACCATATCTAAAATTTTACAAGGAATAAAATAAAATCTCAAAGAATGTGTGCACAAAATATCACGTTCCTTGTTAAAAATTACATGTGGATGTACTAGTGACAAGTAAAAAGATCTTTCGATTTTAATAGTAAAAATTGACATGTTTCACAAAAATTTTACATAGCTATGACAGTAGACATGTCGATCACATGAAATCTTGACTGACTGATAAAGAAATAAAATTTTCCGTTTTATGTCAATCATTTATATTAACGTTAAAAATTTTTTTTTGGTTATTTTAAAATTACAATAAAGTTTCATTTTTTTTTTGCATTGATATTCAATCATCATCTTATCTAAGAATATTGAAAATGAGTACTTCTAACATTAATTCTTATGAGCATGAAGGTTTTATTGAAGCAGATGAAGAAAATGAATTTAATTTCCATTTTAAATGTAATGAACATGAAGAGCATGAAGAACATGAGGAGGTTGTTTTAAGTGACAATTTGGAAATAATCAATGTTAATCAGAATACTAATACTTTTATTCAAACTGATAACATTGAAGTTGACAATGGTGAAAATAGCAGAAGACAGTCTACAAGCAGTAGAGGAAATAATAATAGTAATCATTTTCCACCACCACCACTTTTTTCTCTATTAGTGCATAGATACAATTTGCATAATGCTATTGTTAAATTACCTCATGAATTAGAGTTATTGTCAAATTTGTCACCTATTTCAATTTTTATGCTTTTTTTTACAAGTGAAATTTTTAATCAACTTGTTGAAAATTCTAATTCATATGCAATTAAAAAGGGTGCTGGAACAGGGAGAGATTGGTATCCATTAAGTGTCCATGAATTGAAAATTTGGATGGCATTGTTAATATATATGGATCTTTTTAAATTTCCATCTGTTGATGATTATTGGAATTTGAATGACAGGTTTCCTAAACATAAAATAATCCAATATATGTCACTATACAGATTTGAACAGGTAAAAAATTACCACAAATGTATGTTTTAATTTATTAAAAAAATTTGAAACTAAATTTTTTTTATCAGATTTAAAAGATATTTTCATATCTCAAATCCAAATGAGAATAAAATCAATCCACTTGGTTTCCAAACTTGAGCCTTTGGCCAAACAAGTAAAAAAAACTTCTGAATCTATTTATATACCAGCTTCAAGTGTTTCCATTGATGAAATGATTGCAAGATTTTCAGGAAGAACTGCTGAAACTTTTAGAATAAAAAATAAACCAACTCCTGAAGGATATAAAATTTTATCATTGTGTGATGCTGGATATACTTTTACTTTTACATTCTCTTCCAGAATCAAAGAAAATCTGAATATTAAAAGAATTCCAGGATTAAGTAAAATTGATAGTGAAGTTATTCATTTAGTAAAAAAATTGCCAATTAATAAATCCTTTAACATATACATGGATAATTACTTCACAAGCATTAATTTATTCAAATACTTAAGAGATAGAGGGATTGGTGCATGTGGTACAGTTTGTAAAAATTCAGCCAAACTTCCCAGTATATTAATACCAAAGAAGAAGATAAACTTAACTTGGAATATGCTTTTTGGTGTTGAAGTTGATGAAGTTTTGGCTCTTTTATGGATAGATAATGGTCCTGTAACAATGCTTACTACAATTCATGAAATTACAGGAAAAAATTCCAAAGTTGCTAAAATTCATCATCGCCCAAGAATTAATAATGTAAATCAAAGAGCCATAACTGAAGTTTTTGGTGATCAACCAAAAATACTTATGGATATTCCTGCTGTAATTGATGATTATAATCACAAGATGAATGGAGTTGATATGGCAGATCGATTAAGAAGTTATTATTCAACACAATTAACTGCAAGACATACTTGGGTCCCTTTATTCTTTTGGTTGCTTGACACAGTTATAATTAATTCTTATTCAATTCATAAACGAAGTAACTTAATAGCCAATGATTTACCTCATAAAGTCTTTAGATCTCAATTATTATGGGAGTTGATAGAAGATGCTTTGAAAGAAAAAATGAATTTAGGAATATCAACATGACACAGTCAACAAACCTTTCCTAATTCCTCTCCTTCAAGCCAAAAATTACCTCATGTAATAGCTAATTCTCAACCTTCTAAAGATAGATTAATTATAGGCAATCATTTTGCAGAGTGGAGAATGGAAAGACTTTCATGTATGTTATGTAGATACTTGTTTTTAAAAAGCAAGCAAAAAGCTCTAGTATCAAATTTTTGGTGTAAATTATGCAATGTCCCATTATGTTGCAATAGTAACAGGAATTGCTTTAAAAACCATCATGAAAACGAAGATATTTATTTAAATAGATAGTAAATTGTATGAATTTTCTTTATTTGTTTAAAAAAAAAAAAATAAGAAATGTGCTCAAAAGTTTACTTATAAAAAAATATTCGGTAAATTCTAAGTTAAATCTGTGGTCCTGAGGAACAATAATGGCATAAGTTTTATTGGGTTCACTGTACTCTATAAAAAAATTTTATAAGTTGTAAAAATTTCTTTTAATTTTCCGAAAAAATTCAAAAAGTTCATTATTATTAAAAATATAAATTATACATCACACGGATTATATAATGTGAAAAAAATTACGAAATAATATAAAGTTTTCATTGGACTAGATTTTTAAGGGTAGGGGGAATCACGTGGTATATTTAATAGTAAACAATGGCTCAAAAAAAATAATGTCGATCATCATAAATAACAATAATAACGTAATTCAATATTAATATTATAATAATAAAGGCTCCTAATACTATTTTTATTATTATTAAATAAAGGCACCAGACTTTAATTCTCCATTCTTTTGAGTATATATCCAAATTTCCACAATGCTTGCAAGTGGATGTTAGTATTAATTTCAATTAATTTTCTATGGACATAATAAATATTGTTAAACATAAAATTATTGATTTATTAACAGCATTTCCAATTTTCCAGATTATTTGTTGATATATTCTAACTAATTCACAATGTGTATTTCTAGCTTCTTTTTTAATTTTTTTACATTCTGATTTGCTTGATAATTCAAGTTTGATATCAAAAGAGCTTGAGAACTTTTAAATGATAAGAGGTAATCCATTAGGGAGTGTAGATACCACTTTCTCTACTATTCTATGAAAAATAATGCTGAAATTACATATTATCAACAGTAAGAAAATAAAATAATATTTATTCTTTTATTATTATAAATATTTGTGTTTGAAAATTATTGTATATATCACTAATTTTTTTACACAATAAAGATAGATATAATCTTGTCATGATTACAAATAACAAAAACATCCCACTAATGATGATGTTGTGTTGATGAAGAAAATGTTAATATAATAATGCTGAACAAAACACAGTAATAAAATTTTAACTTTTAATTTTGAAATTTGTTTTACAAATTATTTATTTTATTAATAAAATTTATATATGGTAAATAGTTTAAAAAAAAAGAAAGAAGGTGTTGTTAAATCTAGTATAAAGACTAGATCTAAATCAAAAAAATAAGTGTAAAAAATTTACACAATAGGTGGTAATAAAGATAGCTATAATCATGATTACAAATAACAGAAAACATCCTGCTAATGACGATGTTGATGAAGAAAATATTAATAATAATAATGCTGAACAAAAGCAGTAATGTAATTTTAATTTTAATTTGAAATTTGTTTTTACAAATTATTTATTTTATTAATGAAATTTGTTTTTACAAATTATTTATTTTATTAATAAAATTTATATATGGTGAAAAGAAAGAAGGCGTTGTTAAATCTAGTATAAAGACTAGATCTAAATCAAAAAAAAATAAGTGTAAGAAATTAGGTAGATTATTTATTTTAATTATAAATTTGAACAACTATACTGATTATATTCACTTCTACTAAAATATTGTTAGCAAATTCATATTTTTTTATTGTATTTTTTTTTTGATTTTTTTTTATACACATATGTATGTTTGCATATATTATCATAAATAAAATCAATTAAAGTTGCCAAAATTACAATTAAAATAAGATACATTATTCAATAAATTCAACTAGTGATGATTAGTAATTCATGTTCCATTTTTTACGTTAATAGATAATCAAATGAATTTATCCTTTTGCTAAGATTGAATAATTAGGATCTGTGCCTTTAAGAGTTTTAGCCATAATATGTATGATGTACTTCCATTGCATTCAATTGATATGAATCATCATAAATAAAAAGTTTGATTTTGTTGAAAGAACAATTTATAATTATTTATATAAATGTTTTCAAATGCTGAATAAATAAAATTTTATTACATTATAACTTTACTATCACTATATTCTTTTTACATATAAAACATAAGAAATTAGAAAAATTCCAAGTAATGTTTAGACTCCTCCAGTTAATACTAAGAAATAGGCAGTTTTTACTAAGTAAATGAAACATTACTAAGTAGTAAGTAACTTTAGACTAGTAATAATTTGGAATGAATAGCTTATATGAAAGAAATAATACCTTTTACTAAGGGATTAGTATCAGTTACTATGGGATTAGTATGGTTTTTTGAAGAAATTAAAAGTTCTTACTAAATTATTTTGTTTGAAATTTTACAAGAAATTAAAGGGGTTTATAATCTACATATGGAAAAATTTTGAACCAATTTGGACGTGTTTTGCATAACTTTTATTATGCAACTTCTATAATTCAAATTTTTGAGCCGCCGATCTACATATAAATTGACACGTGATTCCCCCTACCCTTAAGGAATATCAAAGCAAGATTTTTAGAAGAATTTGAAGAGTCAGATATAGCAGAAGCTCTTTTCAAAATATAAAAAGTTGTGAAAAATACTTAGAATATCTTACTAAAAATGGCTAGTGAGTTTCCTTTTCGGCCTTTTTTTAAAAATCCAATTTTTATTATGAAGATCTGACTGGTGTTTTAATGAGATCGCTGCCCACTTTTGTTAATACCAGTTCAATTATAATTATCTGAGGACTTAATATAAATGTTTGGTTGAATTTTGTTATTGAACCAGGGTTGGCAAATTGATTGGTCCATTGAGAATAGATGAACTTTGGACTGGTCCATTGCTATTAATAAAATAGTAAACATGGTTAAAGTGTTACACTAATGGACCCAATAAACCATCAATGGACTGCACATTTGCCAATCCTGTATAACTTTTTTTTGTGTGATTCTATTGGTTGTTATAGATTTTATCAATTTCTTTCAGATCCAAAAACCAAAATTTTTAAATGATATTGCAAGATAATTCTAATGGGTTAAGGGGACAATAAATTATAATTCTTGTTTGAAAGAATAATATGATATAGATATTGAGGAAGCCCTAAGTATGATATTTTTTTTTTATTAAACCAAAGAGACCTTAAGAAACATCAAAATATCTATTATAGCACAAATGGTTCAAAATATGCTTAAAAGAAGTGGTTTAAAAGCAGTTGCTAGAAAGAACCCCCCTTTTCTTAAATTACAACATTAAAAACGACAATTAGAGTTTGCAAAGAGGTACCAATATTGGTTAATTAATGATCATTTTTTCTGATGAAAACTAAAATTAATCGTTTTGGATCCAGTGGTAAAAAATGGTGTTAGAAAAAATCAAGTTTTCCATTTCCTTGACATTCTGAACTGAGTATATTTGAAGCCATTATTGTAATAGTAAAGAATGATCCTTTTAATATTATTATCATTACTATTAAACAGAGATGATATCTGGAGTGTTATAATTTAAACAGACAGGTATACAGATAAGTATCCGAATATCCATATTAATATCTGAACCCAAGCTCTATATGACAAAGACAAATAATTTGTTGGATTGCTCAAAAAAAGAATGGCAATTATGCTAACAACATCAGGTACTAGCATATAGTAATTTGGCATTGAAATTTCTATGTTCACTATTATTTTAATACTACTTCAAATAAACAAAAAAAAATTTTTTATTATTTCTTTAACCAAATTATTGTAATCAATGAAATCAATCAATTAAATAATCTTTTAATGATTTTCCTTATTTTCTATCTTTAATATTGATATGGGTATGAATAATTTGCCTAAAAAAAATCAAAATCAGTAAAAAAAATTATTACAACTTAATAATAATTGCATAAATGCTTATTTATAGTAATTACTATAAATAACACATACCGTTTGAGCAGTAGTTGCAGCAGTTGGGTAACCTGGATAACCAGTTGCATTCCATTGACCTTGTGCAGCGTAATAATTATTCTGAGCTGCGGCAGTAGTTGGTTGAGCTGCTGCAGCATAAGGTGGTACGGCATTAGTTGGAGTAGCTATAAGAGAAGAATTATTAGTATTCACACCAGCAGCAGCAGCAACATTACTATTATCCACAACACCACCCATTGTTGATGCATGATCTAATCTCATTTGTTTAGTTGGTTTATTATTATCTAATATATCTTCTTCAGATCCACTACGTTTTTTTGAATAATCAATAGTTGTTGTTGTAGACGTAGAAGTACGATTTGAAAGTGGTTGTGTATTAGATTCTATGTCAACTTTATTATAATCAAATATTGATTTGCCACGTTCCATTAGAAAATCAAGATAACGATTTGATAAATCTCTTATTGTCTCAGGTGGTAAAGTTGACGTGTTACGAATTTGATCAAATAATGATTTTAGGCGAGTTTCTACTTCAGAATCTATTGGAAATTTTTATTAAAAATGATTTTTTCTTTTTTTTTTTTTTTTTTTTGAAAAAAACCATCGAAAAAATGAAACTAACCATTTTGTGATATTTCAAAATTAAAATAATTTAACCAAAAATATTTACTATCCAAATATTTTGATGAAGCTTCTTGAAAGTTTTGACGTGCTTCTTCAACAGATCCTTTACACTTTTAATTTAAAAAAAGTAAATTTCGAAAATATTTAAAATTCACTCATTATAAAACAGCACTTACATGCCAAATCAATTTTGCGTGTTGTACAGATAAGAAGGCTTTTGATTTGTCATCAAGTTGAGCAGTATTTTCAAGAGAATTTGTTAATATGTTGATAGGTTCTGTTAAATCATCTGGATATTGACGACGTTCAAAATGAGCATATTTCATCAATGTTTCTACGTGTCCCGGTACTTTGTTTTTTTTTTTTTTTGATAAAAAATTTTACGGGTAAGTACACGCGTATTGTAATAAATGATGAAATGCGACAATACTTACATGATTCTATGATTCCTTTATATATTGATCTAGCCTTTTCAATATTGCCTTCTTGTTCTTCAAAGCACGCGTATGATAAGCGAATACTTGGGCGACTTTGAATAAACAATTTTTTTTTTATAATTATGATAATTATAATAAATATTTATATAATGCACTTTTCATCATATATAAAATCTCATAAATGTGTACCTTATTGGGACAAAAACAGTTGTGGCTCTTATGTATATATTTCTTGCATCTTCTATTCTATTTTTGGATACCATCCAACGAGCATATTTTTGCCAAAATTCTTCATACAAAGCCTATAATATAAATTAATTAATATATGATGTAAATCATCAAAGATACAACAATCATAACATATACAAATATACATATAAATGTATACATACACATGCAACTAAACATCTTTCATATAGTACTTGTATTCTAGTCTCATCACCTTCACCCTCTTCAAATTCAAGATATCTTCTCCAATTTGACAATTGAATTTCATCCATTGCTTTAACATGAAAATATGGTCTTTTAATCTAACAATAAATAGAAAATGAGCGTTGTATTCAATAAATCACATATACATAATTAAATGCATATAAGATTTTTATTACTTCTTGTTCAAAAACCCATCGTTTATTTGTTTCAACTTGTGTTTTCATGTAATTTTCAACATTTATATTATAGATACGTGTTCTTATCTCACTTTGAATTTGTTCCTCGGTCTTGATAAAAAAAAGATTGATTAAAAACAATATCTGACAAATAAATATACTAGTCCTAAATAAATAAATAAATCGGTGTCATACTTTTTCCGTCGGTGGTTGTTCATCTTCAGTACCTTCTGTTGTAGAAGGTTGAGGTGTTGCTTGAGCCTCTGCTATAAATTGCTTTAATTGATCAGGTGGTAAAAGTTCTGATATTGGTCTCGTTCCACATAATTGATTAAATCTATATTATTCAGTAAATATAATATAGATTATATTATATAGTAAATAAATATATATATATATTTAAAATAATTAAAATAAACATCATACTCGTCAAAAAATTTAGCATATTGATGCATGGGAATACGTATGATCCTATCAAGGATTTTTAAGACACAGTCATAAGCTTCTTTTGATTTTTCAAATTCCAAATATTTCTCCCAAAATAAATGAGATAAAAAGTCATATCCTGCACGAGTTGCACCTCTCTCGAATAACCTGATATTTATTATGTTGTGATGATGATTGTATTATTGTGATGGTGGTGACAATTTGTGTTGTAATTAATTATATATATTTATAAAATTATAAAAAAATTATAATTAGTTTAAAATTTTATAAATATAATTTTTTAAACATTAAATTTTTATATTAAAAAAAAAAAGATAAAAATAACAAATAAAAACAAATCATAAAAAATTAATATAATAATAAAAAAAAAATAAAATAAAATAAACACAGAGCGGCAAAAACTCAAATCTATAACTTAGATTACAATTAGTTAGATTCCCGATTGTTTATTTTTTTAGTTTTATTAATAATGTTGTATAATATTTTCTTCGGTTGGCTGTCATTGATCATATTACTGTGTTATCCTCATTCATCACGATCTCATCACCCTTATTACTGTCTTATCTTTATCTCATCAAAGTTGTCTCATCCTCTTCAACTTCATAATTATCATCACCATCTTCATCATCATCAGTTTCTGTTGTACTTGAATAATAATAAGAACTGTTGTTTTTTTTTGTGTTTATTTATGCAATTTCACAATATAACAATAAAAGGAAAAACAGAAAAAAAAGGAATGAAACAACAAAATAAAAAATCATGATAACTTCGCCTTTTGTCCTCATCCTTTTTTCCTGATAATATATATATATATATATAGAGATGATAAATTCTGTCTTTTTTTTGAGAGTTTAAGTAGTAGTAATAATATACATACGTATAATATGTATATATATGCGTGGACAAAATGAAAACAAAAAAACAGACAAAAAACCAACAAAAATAAAAACAAAAACAAAAATAAATAATATAAAAAAATTAAACTTTAGACAGCTTTAACTTACCCTCTAATACCTTCTATATCGTCCGGATAATGCTCAATCTTAAAAGAACAATATTGTGTCCAAAGATCAACTGAATTAGGTATTGCCTCAACACCACGTTCATAAATCTTGTGTAAATAAGATTAATTTTAATTAACCTCTGTCCCAAATATATATATAGACACATACATATATATATGTGTGTGAGAAATACCTTTTCAGCTTCGAGCGGGCCTTGTATCATAAACTCGAAATCAGCATATTTTTTCCAATATCCAAAACATAATGGAAATTTTGCCAAAAATTGATCGAAAACATTCCTCATGTTTGCAATAGTTTCTTGTGTTGATTGAGGTGTAAGACCTCCATCAGCAGATTCTGCTATTCTAATCAAATATTCCCATGAATTGAAATCCTACCATAACGTTTTACAGAAGAAAAAATTTTCAATCAGGTTAAATAATAATGTTTCATTATTAATGTAATTTATTGACTAATTAATTGATAATAATTAAAATACATCGGGATTTGTTTTAACGGCTTCCCAATAACGTTCCAATTCAGATTGTTGTGGTTGTGATTCAACCGTGCTAGTATTCTCCTCAGATTGAGCTTGTTGTTCAATTACACCATTTGGTTGTAATGGAACTATATTTATTTTAAATAAATAAATATAAATATAGATTAATTAGCATTTCTAAAACATTTTTAATTTTTCATATTTTCGTTTTTAATTCCATATATTATTAATTGTTTGATAAAGATTTAATCTAAAGCTTTTCAATTTAATAAGAAGGATTTAATAATAGTAATAGTAATAGTAATAGTAATAGCAATAGTAACAGTAATAGTAACAATAATAGTAATATGATATAAACAAATCAAACTTAGAAGTAAAGGCCACATTTCCCACAGCCTTTATGAGAGTAGTAAAAGTAGCGGCAGTAGTAATCAAGTAACTATTTATTTTAGATCTAACTACCCAAAACCAATTTGCAAAAGCATACCAATAGATTGATCGGCATTACTATACTGTGAGTATTGTTGTGATGAAGGATTTAAATCTTCTTCTTCATAGGACGCCATCTATTTAATTCTTTAAATGATCTAATATATAATATATAAATATATATATGTGTGTTGTGTGTGTGTAAAAAAAAAGAATAAAAAATCAATTATTTTTATTTATGTTTATGTGATAATTCAAGTAAAAAATGAATTACATATCACTTAATTTTTATAATATCACAGGGATTGCACATACATAACACGTGCACTTGGGAAATTAACACATGATCAACAACAATATTTTTAACCTCCATATAAGTATAGTATGCATTAGTACTTGTTCAATTTATTATAAAAAACAAGTGAAAACTCAAAGCCCATTCCTCCATATGGAGCACAATCAGTATTTTCAATATTATGGTAAAAAATTTATTATTATTATAGGAACATAAAAGCTGCTGTGCTTTAAAAGGATGTAAATTACCCCAAAAATTTAAATATTTGTAACATATTTTTGAATTTAGGAACATAGCTACAGAATATTTATAGATGTTATAAAGTTTAAAACTAAAAGTTTCAATATTGAATCTATATTTGCACAACTTGAATTTTTTTCATGACTATTAACATGTCTCAAGCATCAGGACCCTGTAATATTTGGATTCATATTTAAATCAAATAGATCAAATGGCTTTTCTGGTGCAAATATTGGGGCCAATTATCCAAAAATCGTTACTGCCCTTTCACACTCTTATGCAACCTTCTGGTAAGTTGAAACTCTTGTTTTGTTAATAAGGAGCTATGTTAACATAATGGTTGAAACACCCTACTGATAGTAAATGCCAGTGCCTATCAAAGATATCATTTTTGAAATTTACATCATAAATTGTAAAAGTTATTTTTCCTCCCTCCTGATACTGTTCAATTCAGAATAATGTTGACCATTTATGACAGTTCCAGAAGATAAAATAACATGCATCATAAAATATTCCATTAATCAACCTCTTTAACTCCCCTAACTTAAAGATTATATTACAATTGTGAAATATCCATTTAATCCATAGCTTTGCCATAATTTGTATTTCCCATCAAGATGAAATGAGAAACTGGAAGCTATGATTCCTGATTGATTCATTTGTTAACAATTTATTATAATCTTCTTGCACTTTTGATGGAAGGTTACAACTATTATAATACTCTCTCCTATAAGGTTTATCATTGCTAAGTGAGTGGCTATTGAATAAGATGGTATTCACCCAAAGTGATTTTGTTCACCTTTTAAGGGCGCAACTTATTTTTCCCCTGTACCAGAAAAAGACCCAATCTATGTCTGGGATTATTGAGGGGTCACTACAGAAATGCTGTTAGACTTCAAAGCATGAATAATATCTGCTTTGCTATCACAATAACCTCCAGGTTTGACATAATGCAGAACTGCTGTAAAATCCTCAAGTTCTGGTTATATACAAAGTTGAAAGCAAGTTTTTTTATCATTTCCTTCCAGTACTCATTAACATTTTGACTTTTGAAACTGGTTTGAAAATTAAGTAAGTCATAATTGCTTGCTTAGTTATGTAATTTTTTTCTACATTATTGAAGTATCAAGGGAATATCATTGTTTATTCGCATACAATGCATTTTATGAATTGCAAGAACCTCAAGCATCCATGTAAAACTCTGTAAAATTATATTTTATAAGAACTTGATTTGCATCTTTAAACAAAATGTTCTCATACAGCTTCATAAAACCAATTTGCACCATGTTGGGAGCATACACGAATGCTGCCATCTGATCTGTGCTGACATATAAGAAATGAGCTAATCATCTGATAAAAAGATATGCATTTAGAATCTCTACGAACCTTGGTCTTTCTGTTAATATGGACCCCAAAACTGGTTTGCAATCAACAAGAAAATTATCTCCTCCTCCTAATGGACCATCCATATATTGATAGACCAAATTTTATCAGTGTATCATTAGCTAAAGCCATCCCATCAAAAAAAGCACCATCCGTATGTGGGAACAATCCACCTTTAAAATATAATATTAATTAATTAAAAGAATTTGATCCTTGATGGTTCTTCAAGAATGAATATATCATATGTTGGAAAATATCTATTAATTCAATGCCAAATAAAAAAAAATCAAAATCAAAATCACAATCCAATTTAAAGATTCTTTAATTTTTGTAATATAAAAATAAATATTAATTAATCAAAATAACAAACCGATTGGACAATTCTGGTAGATCTTATACTAATGATATTGCAAATAGTACAATATAAAACACTGTTATTACCACCAACAATTGGATTCGTTCAATTCAAACAATTTTTCTTCAAATCAATTTTTAACAAGCATTGTTAAAATATTTTCACGCAAGCATTTCTTTACTTTGTTCTGAGAAATGGAATCTAACATTTCTTTTCTTTGTAAAAATATTAACATTATTTTTTAAAAAAATAACTTGTAGCTTATTAAAAACAAAAAACGCGTTATCATTTATTTTGTTCTTGTCTAAGAACGAAAAATCGAATTGAAGGAAGGGTTTGCATCTTATGGCAGAGTGTGAAAAGTTAGCTTTTGATCAAAGGAAAAGAATTTTGGGAAGAAAAGGTTTATTCTAATTCTTACCATGTGATGATGGTAAAAATATATAGTTCATATATGTAAATGTGCACAAATATAAATGATAATAATCATTCATCACCATCATCAATTGTTTCATCAAATAATATATATAAAAAAAAAAACTGATTTATGATAAAAATTTATTTATTTATTTACACTTTTTTTTTTTTGTTTATTTTTTTTTTAATATTTAATTTTGAAGAAAAAAATATAAATTATCTTTATCACATTAAATTACATCATATTTAAATTTTTAGTTTCCTGTTTAATATTCTTTATTGTTCTTTTTTTTTATTATTTTTATTAAAATAAAGTTCTTTTTTTTTTGAAAAATATTAGTTTATTGAATTTCATAACACACACACAACCATATACTACATTTATAAAAATTATATAACACTATGAGAATGATAACAGACAACGATATAAACGTAAACAATTATAAAGACAGCAGTAACGATAATGATAATGACAATTGTAATAAACCAGTTCAAGCGTATGCTAAACTTGAAGGTGAAACTGTTTGTTATTATGTTAAAGCGCTTCAAGTAACAATTGGTCGGCGAACTAGCCCAACGGATCAAATTGACCTCCACCTTGGACCTATCAAATCAATATCAAGACAACATGCACGTCTATACTATAATTTCAACATTCAACGTTTCGAATTGTATATTTCAGGTAAAAATGGAGCTTTTATTAATGAACAGTTTGTTGAACAAGGAGATACTGTGGAATTAGAAGACAGGTATGAATAGAATTTTGCATTTTTTAATAATGAATTTTGTATATATTGTTATGATAGTCGTCATCATCATCGTCATCATCATCATCACCATCATCACCGACATCATCACCATCATCATCATAATACCTAACACACTTTTAATCATCATTTATAGGACAAGAATTCAAATTGGAGATGTTGACTTTACATTCATATTACCAAGCATTGAAAATAATATCGGCGATGATTATAGTAGTAATAATATCAATGATGATGGTAATAACGTAGTGATTAATGGGAAAAGTGATATATTGATAATTTTAACGATAACAAAAAATTTTTATTTTCTTTTTATTCAGAAGATTTCAATCCTGATTATCAAAAAATAAACAAATCAACACCATTAAAGACGACCAGCAGCATAGATATTTTATCCTCTTTAGCATCTGCCACGTTAATAGCATCACAACAATCCCCCGCATCAACGCCCACAATTGCAACTTTAAATAATTTAAGATATGATAACAACTACAACAATGATATTGAAATCGACATCACTAACATTCTTAATGGCACTAATAATAACGATTTATTTACAATTGCTACAAAAAATGAAATATTTGACACTTCTCAATATCAATCCAAAGACACAAAGCCACCATTTTCATACGCATCTTTGATCGCTCAAGCTATCAATTCTTCTCAGTCTAAAAAATTAACGCTAAGTGGAATCTATACTTGGATAACAGAAAATTATCCTTATTATCAATCAGCAAAAAATGGATGGCAGGTGAATAATATTTTAGTATTTATTATAAATGAATACATTAATTTATCACATGTACATTTAATTAATTTTTTTTATCCCATCTACAAAACAACAATATGTAATGTAGAATTCTATTCGTCACAACTTGTCATTAAATACATCTTTCATTAAGATCGCACGCGATGATCATGAACCCGGAAAAGGTGCATGGTGGGCAATCGATCCAAATGGTGATGGTCAATTTTCAAATGGAGTCTACAAGAAAAATAGAAAGGCTTCTACCATAAGAAATCAAAGAAATTCGACATCACCTTATTCTATCGATTCTAACGCCATCATCACCACTACCAATCCCACTGGTAATAATAACAATGATAATGATAAAAACAGCAGCAATATCAATATCAATAATAACAATATCAATAACAACAACAATGCTTCTATCACTTCCATTACTACAAAGAAACTAAAACCTGATAAATTTATTATTTCAACCACTAGTACCACTGCCGCTGCTAATAATCATAATCATAATAAAAATAATCATCATTATCATCATCACCATAATAATAATAATCATAATAATAATAATGATAACAACAACAACAACAATAATCATAGCAAGAATGAAGACGCGCAATTTAATCAAAATAATGATTTAAATGCTTTAGCGTCACCACCTATTGAATATAATCGTAATGATAATCTAAATCATCACAACAATCATTATCATTATCAAAATAACCATCAACAACGACAACAACAAAAATTGGATTATATTCTTCCGATAACTCCGACAGAAAGTAATAATAGTTCAGACGATAACACTATTATTACTAATACTTTTGATACCACTACAACCATCACTACTATTACTAATAATAACAGTGATAGTAATAATAATATTGACTCAAATAAAAGACCTGATAAAGTAGATAATTATAATAAAATGATGACTACAACAACAACTATTAACAACATTAATTCATTAAATGATTTTGAATTGGGGGAAAAATTAAGCCCGGAAAAGTTATCAGCAGCTGTTGAGCTTGTGCATGAGCAATTAACTCAAATAACTTCTGCACCAATCTCTCGTACTTTTGTTACTCAAGTTACAAATCGTCTAACGCCTGATCAAATTGACCAAATTGCACAACTTTCAAATCTAAGACTTGGACAAAGCAATAAAGCTTCTTCATCAACCTCATCATCGCCATCATCAACACCAACCTCAACCTCATCATCTCTATCACTACCTTCTACAATCTCATCACCTGTTAATTATCAACCACCACCACCACCACAACAACAACAACAACCACCACAACAAAATGGACAAGCCAATGATAATAAAAGATCCAGGTCAAATTCTGATGATTTCGATGATGATGACCATGTTGAGCCAAACTTGAAAATTAATAAGGCTAAAATATAATGATAATTATTGAATTGGAGTTTTATTAGAAAGTCGGAATTTGTTTGATCAATTTTGGATTATAGAGTTTATTAGGATTGATTGGCTGATTGATTTATTGATCAATCAATCGACCAATCAATCAATCAATTGATTGATTGATTAGAATTTTTATATATGCATTATAATTTTATATTTGATATATATATTTTTTTTTGGAAAAAATTTTCTTCTAATCGTTGCACAAAATTTATGATATCATAATTGATGCTCAAAAAAATAATAATTTCATACAAAAGTATTTAAATTAATTCCCTTATTATTTATTGTGACTTTTATTTATTATATATATTGATAATTTTATTTATTTATTTGTAATTAATTTCTTCGAAATCATTGTTTAAAAAAAACCAAATCCTTAGATATATACATACACACACAAATAAAAAAATTGTTATTTATTTATTATAATTTAAAATCTTTTTCATCAATCAATGAGGGTGTTCGTTTAAAGGAACCGTTTTGAGCATCCTAATATTTTAATTAGTTCAATCAAATATTTCTTAACATTACAAAAAAATGTGATTATTAGAAGAATCGATTGATCGTTATCAGAATTATTATTATTGATATTACTGTTAGAACTCCCTCCTTTACATATATATATTGATAACAAGAGTAATTTATAATTGTGTGTGAAGAAACTTCAAGAAAAAAATTGATGTATAATATCATTTACTTTAAAGAAAAAAAAAATTTTAAACCTCTAAAAAATTACCAAATTCATCCAAGTCACACCTCTCATTATTATAGATCAAACTAAATCATTGATCAATCAGATGAAGTAGCAGTTAAAGGTGAAGGAGAAGAACGTCTTTTTGGAGAATGCTGACGACTTCTACTGGAATCACGGTAACGATGATTATCTCTACTACTACTATATCTATCATCATCTCGATTCTTTTCTCTTGATCTGTATGGTGGTGATAGTGGTGAACGAGGTGAACGAACGGGAGAACGAGATGAATTTCGACGAGGAGATGGTGGTGTATATACGTCTCTATAATAAGGTGATCGGGATCGATCTCTGGAAAATGATCTTCTGTAACTTTTATTATTATTTGAAGGTGTAGTGTAATAGTGAATATGCTGTGTAAAATTAAAAATTAAAAAGAAAGAAGATTTGTATTTTCATACTTTCTGCAATCTCTGGCTCGATGTCCTGTTTCTCCACAATTACTGTAAATTTTTATTATTAAATTAATTAATTAATTAAAATATTTTGGGAATATAAGTAATGTACTTACAAACATCGATTTTCTTCATATCTAATTAAATAAAATAAAGTAGAAAGTTTTTTTTTAAAAATTTTCTACAAACAAATAAATAGACTATAATAAAACAAAATATTTATTTTTACCTGCGAGAACGTTCACCACTTTTAAGTTATATCAATTGATGTATAAAAAATAAATATATTTATTTAGTCATTACTAAATGTACGCAAGTCACATAGATGATTATATTATTTTCTCACCTTCCTGGCGGTTGAGGACTATTATAAAACAATTTTTATAAAAATAGCAATAAAGACCAATTGTATTATCTATTATTAAAATCATAATATATATATATATATAATTTCAATTACACATACCAATCCCTAGCCCTAAAAATATGTGTATAAAATCAATGATATTTTTTTTTTAAAAATAAAAATCTTATAAGAAAAAAGTCCAAGATATTCTTACCAATGACCTAATTAATTCATTGGGGAAAAAAAAACATTTTAATATTAATAAATCAGTTCTATTTTTTTTTTAAAAAAATTAGTTTTTTACCTATTTGACCACAATTAAAGCATCTTTCACGAGGTTGTCTATTATTATAATAACGTCCCCTATACCGACTTTCTCGATTTTGCCGCCAATTACTTCCTAATTAAATCAACCCCCCAAAACATATAAATTTATAAACATAGATGTATAAATATATTTATATCAAAGTGCAAATTCTCTTAATCTCTTTAACTGTAAATATGTACCTCTTGCAACTTCTACAATAATTCTTTCATCATTCCCTGGTATACGTACACCATCTAAAGCCCTGAATTATAACTGTGTTAAAATATGGCAAGCTCTCCTTCGGCGATACTTCAAAAGAGACCAAAGGCACCAGTAACTCCTTTTTTTCTCGCACCAAATAGCAAACACCATGATCTTTACATAAATACATATACATACACATATATATATACATATACATTCATACATATACACATATATACACATATTACATATGTATACACATCATATATATATATATATATATATACACACACATATATATATGTTTTTATATGGGCACCACAACAGGATCACAAATTTTATCGCAGTCTCATGTTGCACCCCCATTTTTTTTGTATAGATTACAGCACCGCTCCTCCTTTTTTTTAATATATATTTTTTATATTTTTCGCTCCTCACCTCATCGCATCTTCCGCATCTCTCGGATCATCAAAATGTATAAAGCAAAAGCCATTCTAAATAAAAATTTATAAATATATTAATTGTTTTAGTCATTTTAAAAAATTAAACACAAGCATGATTTTTACCTTCATCTAATAAATAATAAAAATTTTAAAAAAGAATTAATTAGCTTTTTAAAATCATATATATATATATATATATATATATATTAAATCGAATATGTAAATCCAATTAAATAATTACATCAATATCACGAATCCTTCCATACTTTGCAAAAGCATCATCAATATCACGTTCTGTGATAGATCTAGAGATTCGTCCTAAAAACCAATCACATAAATATAAACAAATCAATTATAATTTACAGGCATATATAATATAACAAAGAAAAGTTGTAATAAATTTTAAACTAATCGATCAAACAAATCGATCAATGAATAGCTGTGTAAAAGTAACGTATATATACACATACCAACATATAGTCTTGCATAGTTTTCATAACTACTAGCACTCCATCTTTTATCGTCATTACCACCTCGTCGATCGTTATAGTAAGAAGACATTGTTTAAAATGGCAAGTGATGAAAGTTTAAAGAAAATAAAATTGAAAAAACTATGGGACGTAGTTATCCAAATTTTAGTGTAACGTTGTACATATAAATCTTATTGTAAAATAATAATCATTAAATATCATGGATTCTACACAAACAAATTCAAAAACGAAACCCAACTACTTTTTGAAATACAGTTTGATTGGACATAAGAAAGCTGTATCTAGTGTAAAATTTTCACCAGATGGAAATTGGTTAGCAAGTGCTTGTAAGTAATGTGTGCGCATGCTAGAAAGATAAAATTAATGCTTAACTTTTTAATTTTAACTGAAAAATATAGCTGCTGATAAAACGATAAAAATTTGGAATGCAATTAATGGCCAATATGAAAAAACTTTTGAAGGACATAAACAAGGTGTTTCTGATATGGCATGGCGCAATGATTCATTGACTCTGTGTTCTGGATCAGACGATACAACTATAAGAATTTGGAATTTGAATATGGTATCTTGAATATAAATGATAAATTTGATTGATTTTATTGATATTAATTTATAAATATATTTATAAATTGCTTTTTTTTCACAGGACGAATCAATAAAAGTACTTAAAGGTCATACGAATTACGTATTTTGTGTAAATTATAGTCCACGAGGGAACATTATAGTTTCAGGGTCATTTGATGAAACTGTAAGAACATGGGATCCTATAAATGGTATTATAAATTGCTTGGTTAATTATAACTTTATCGCAAAGTATTAAAAAATTCGCGTCTTTAATTAATTAATTTGAAGGAACGTGTCTAAGAATTATGTCTGCACATTCTGATCCAGTTTCTGGTGTACACTTTAATCATGATGGAACATTGATTGCTTCGTGTAGTTATGACGGTGCAATGTATTTATATATATATATTACATTTAAAAATTTAGAATTATTACGGTTTAATAAATTTTTATTTTAAAATTGAAATAAATTTTTAGACGAATTTGGGATTCTGATACAGGACAATGTTTAAAGACTTTGATCGTTGATGACAATCCTCCGGTGTGAGTAATATACATTATTTATATATTTATGATTTGCGATTTTTGACCAATTAATAAATTAATGTTCTTTCATGTAATAAAGTTCATTTGTGAAATTCTCACCGAATGGCAAATATATTCTTGCTTCAACACTTGACAACACATTACGGCTTTGGAATTATAATACAGGAAAATGTTTGAAAGATTATACTGGACATTTAAATCATAAATATTGTATATTTTCTAGTTTTTCTTTGAATACTGGTGGTGCTGGTAGTAGCGGTGGTAAATGGATAGTTAGTGGTAGCGAGGATAATAATATATATATATGGGATCTACAAAGTAAAGAGATTGTACAAAAATTAGCAGGTCATAGTGGTAATGTATCATATTTAAAATTTTAAACTAATTGATTACTTTTTATGGATTTGCAAAACACTAATTAAAAATGTTATTTTTGTCCTGTTTAGATGTCGTTATTAGCGTTACATGTCATCCTAAATATAGTATAATTGCATCAGGTGCAATAGGAAACGATAGATCGATCAAAATATGGTTTGATATGCAAGATGAGAAATTACATAATATTTCTTGATTTATGGCTTATTGATATTATTATTATTATTATATGTATGTATTATAAATCTAATTTTGTAATAAAGTCCATGTGATGATAAATTTATTTTTATTTGAATATTATCTAATACTAAACGTTACCTTCACAAACCAATTACCCCAACTGTTTAGAAAAAACATTGGATCGCCGATCGACTCGGACAATTTAGATTTTCTCTTGATATCAATCAGCCATGGTTTACCATGGATAATATAATGAATATTTCAGCTGAATTTCCCACGTCTCACGATGGCAATCTCTAAAATCTTTCAAGGAAACCAATCATTCTTAATATTTTAAATGCCTTATGATGGAATTGTAAGTGTCAATCGAATGAGTGTTTTAACCTGAATTGAATTTTTGTGTATGGTAGATTATCTGCCGTTTCTGGTTTAAATAAATGGTTCATATGTATCCTATAATTATAAAGTCAGAAAAAAAAATTAAAGCTCTGCTATAAATTTAGCAAATTAAACAACATTCCAATCTTTTTCTTGGATTGCAAGTACAAGCATGACAAGAAGCTTTAAATCTTTCAAGAACTAATATATTAGCGTCAAGAAAAACTACTCTTTCAAATTCGATTAATTCTCAAACATGGAGTTTCGGCATAATAGATGTTCACTAGGATTCGTTGTTGGACCAACTTAAAAAAGTTGGTTTAAGGATTCTCTTCAAATAATAATTACAAATATTTTTTAAATGTTGGTAATTCTTCATTCTCGTTCTCGCTGTTTTTTTGTATGGGCTCTTGATAATTTTAAATTTTAGTTTTACATGCGTTACCGGGAAGTGTTGATTATTATTATTATTATATTAACAAGTAGCAATATATTGATTTTACAGCTGCTACGGATTTATGACAGCAGCAACGTTGTGCGAAGTTCCGCTACAAATCCCGACTTACGCAACTGAGTTAATGGGGGGGTCATTTCCACCTAATTCCTCTATCATTGTTTCCTCTTGTAAATAATGGGTGAAAATTGCCATTATTTGAGTTCAAATAGATAAAAGGCCAATGTTCCGGTTGTACATGTCACAAGTTGCCAAACTCAGCCAACATTCTCCATTTGTCCATCACAGCGAGAACAGATAATAGAAGTTCTGGACTATCTTATTCCTATCCCGACATGCTTTTTTCAGTTGCAAAACAGTACTTTTTTAGGTCTGGATAGATTTCCACGGCTACCGGATGAGAAAAATTCATCTCCATACGCTACAACTGTTCTTGGCGATCCACCGGTTATTCTTGTAACAATTTCACGGCAGGCTTTCTGCTTTTTAATATGTATCTTAAAACGAAGATTATGCCAGCGCCTAGTACCATGAAATTCAAGCAGTGTTGGAAGATGCTCGAGAGAATATTTTCAGTATTTGAGTGACAGATGAAAAAATTGGGGGGGGGGATTTTTTTGGAATAGTAATATTACCATTAATATGTTTTATGCGTTTCTAATACAATCAATCAAATTTTTTAAACCATTACTATTACTATTATCAATGCGTTTATGCAATCAATTATTATAATACAATGTTTTATGAGTGCCAATAACAGATTATTTTCGTAATTTTCATAGTTGTATAAATCTTTGTTATTTTATGCGTTTCAATAATTATATGTGATGTACTTATTAAATGTTATTTCATGCGTTTCCAATGTAGTTATTATTATTGTATGAATAATTTACTCTTTACATTTTAAGAAATGCATTTATGCATTTAACAAAAATTTATTTACAATTCCTAGCCTATTTTGTACAAGTATTTTTTAAAATAACAATTAATTAATTATGTAACAACCAAGTCTTTTTTTAAAAAACGCAACCAATATTTTACAAATCTTTTTTTTTTTTTTTTTGATAGCAGTCCTCGGACGTGTCCGAGGTATATATTTATTGTTTGTTTCGTTAATCGGCATTAACGCGATCACCAAAGCCACATATTGTTATTGTCCATAAATACCAAAGAAAAACATAAAGAACATTAGACCATCACAAAAGTTTTGAAAGGCGCAAAGTAATCAAGAAACGACATATTTCCCGTGTTTGCCAAATTTCAATCAACGGTCTGTTTTACCAAATTTAGAAAAAAAGTATTAATACTAACTAGTATTAGGTCGACAAAATCGACGGATGATTTTTCTTGATCAAACAAGTTTCGAATTAAATCGTAATCCGCACAAGTGGGGCTATATCAAGAAAATATAAAAAATAAAAATTTTCCAATTGAAATCATCAATAACCATATTAACAAAATTTACTAATACTAATAAATATTAATGGTTAATATATCAAATGTTGACCATATCACGTGAATAAACAAAAATGCGAACGTTTCATTCCGTGCTACATGATAATCTGTGAGTGTATGTATAATGATGAATTTCTTTTATTTCGCCGTTTACTATTTATTATTATTATTACTTGCAAGTTGGATTCCGCTCAAGTTTGTTGTTTTAAGGCGCAACAATACATTCCCATATTAATATGTGTATTACGTAGGATAATGAACACAGGCTAAACTTGTACATTTCATTGATGGTGGATGGATGATGGGTAGGTTTCATTACATGTTACAAGAATCCCAAAAAAGAAATATTTGTTTATTGGGGATCTTCTTTGCAGGAAACGGCCTGTATTATTACGATAATCACGAATGAATTGATTGATTGATTCATCACATCATATATAAAATATATAAAATAAAATTAGTGAAAATGAATTTATTTAATATTAATTAAATATTTTTATTTTAGAATATTAATAGCATCATTTGAAAATCAGTTTAATGCACACACATGAAAAACAGGAGAAGATTTTAGAGGGAAGAAGACTTTATATTTGAAAATTTCTAAATTTCTAAATGAGGAAAATGTGAGTAATATTTATTTATTTTAAGTCCGAAAATCATATACATAAAAATGAATGAGATTTCAGAAATATTTATAGAATTATAATATAATAAACAATGATCTTTCCTCTCGATAATAAATAATAAATTCGTTTTTCTTCTCCCTGTTTCTTCTTTTTTAAATAAATATTTGCAACAATTATATCGTTGAAATAGAGAAGAGGAATAATAACATCATAGTAATGGTTAATCAATCTTTTCACACGACAACAACATTATCATCAATTACTCCACGTTGGCAGAATTGCAATAATCGCAATAATAATAATCATTATCTTTTAGAAAACAAAAGAATGTTTCTTTCGTTTCCTCATGCCAGAGATATAGCCATCTATGCCGCTGGTGGACTGGTAATTATATATATATATATAGCAATTAGCAATATCATGACAATAACGAAATATATTATATTTATATTTAATTTATCAATATAATATATATAAATAGTTTTTGTTAGGATGGTGGATATTTATCGATGCAATTATTTACAAGACTATTTATAATGAAATTTCTCCAATTGCATTCGAGGATTGGATAAGTGGGATATTAACAACTATTGGAATGATATTGTAAATAAATAAATAAACATATCTATTAATTAATAACTAATTGGAATATTGGATATTAATTAATAATGACTTTTTGTAGAGTGAATACAATTGACAAGTCAATTATTTCAGATGAGATTTATAGTTATGGTGAATCACGTAGGACGCTCTGGAAAGCGCGCCTATTAATACTCTTAGGATTTACATTGATGGCTTTTGGATTATGTGGTTCAGTGGTAAATATATTATAATTAGATTATTCGTGGTATTTTTTTATTTATAATGTTAACATTAAATCCTTAACTTCCAATCGTTAATTTTCAATTAAGGCTGTATTTGTATTGGATTGTATATTAACCGAAGCATCTGTTCAATCAATCCATTTTGGAATTGTAATTGTGGTTCAAAATTTTTGTATAATGATGAGGTAAAGAAAATTTTTGATATTTTTTTTTTTTAATTCAAACCACACAAGACTTGACTTTTTTATTTATTTTATTTTTATTTTTTTTTAAAAAAAACAATAGTTCCATAGTTTTGTTAATAGCACAAAATTCAAAAGATGATTACAAAGATTATTTTTCGTATTAAAATTATTTATTTATTTATCTATTAATGCCAACTTTCTTGTTAATTAATAATAGTCATTATAGTATTTATGTAATATTAATAATAAATTTATTTATCAGATTTATAAAATGTGGCTTATTTTTTTTGAAGATGGCTTTGCTCAAAAAGTTTTCTATTATATATATATGTGTGTGTTTGCATAGCCATCGGTTATAAAAAATAATAAATTAAATAACAATTATAAAAATATAAAAATATAAAAATTTTTTTAAAAAAGTTTTTTTTAAATATGATGATGAATTTAAAATGTTATCGAAATAAAACTATATTATTACTAATATTAATAATAATTATAACAACAATCACAGTAATAGCACAACCACAAGATGAAGGAAATGTTTTTCTATTAGATGATGACAGTACTAGTAATATCGACTTTAAAATTAGGGAGGAGGTGGATTATAATAATTTTGATATTTACGATAATAGTAATTTTAATGACTACCATGAATTAGATCTTGACAACGAGAACGATGATAATGATGATGATGATGATGATGATGATGATGATGATGATGATGATGATGATGATAATGATGATGATTCTGTGGTAACTATTACAGCTGTATCAACTTTTAGAGTTCCGGTTACCGTTACTATTACAGCCAGTGATAGTGTCGCACCATTGACCTCAACACCAAATGAATCAACAACAAAACCATCACCAAAACCAACATCGACAAATAAATCAATAACAGAATCACCACCTGGAGCAAAAAAAACTACATCACCAAATCCAGAAGCGACTACAGAATCACCACCTGGAGCAAAAACAACTACATCACCAAATCCAGAAGCGCCTACAGAATCATCATCGCCAAAAGTAGAAGAAACCACGAAATCACCATCTCCAGAATCACCATCTCCAGAAGTAGAAGAAACCACGAAATCGCCACCACCACCACCACCATCACCATCACCATCACCTAAGGCAAAAGATAATATAGAATCAACATCAATAAAAGCAGAAGCAACCACAGGATTGTCGTCACCAAATCCAGAAGCAACCACAGGATCGTCATCACCAAATCCAGAAGTAACTACAGAATCGCCACTAAATGCAGAAGATACTACAGGTCCAAAAGAAACAGAATCATCATTACCAACAGAAAGAACTACAGAATCACCATCGCCAGCAACTTCAACAATAACGCCAATGAAGTCATCAACATCATTAATTGAAACGCCAATAGCAACGACAGCAGTTCTAATAAATAAATCGTCATCATCACCATCGTCGTCATTATATAATTCGACTAATCAAGTAAACGAGAGCAACAAAATAAAAAAATCACCGCTATCTAATAGATACGTGCAATTTGCAATAGCCGTTTCATTAATTGTTATAGGTTTTGCATTAGCAGCACTTGTATGTTTTTTTTTCCAAACAAAAAGAAAACGCGTACTTAAATCCATTTCACCATCACAACCACCAGATGGACCGTCAACATCAACATCGCCATTACTGGTTACAAGGATGTATGAAGGAGATGGCGAAAATCAAAGAACGGTGATTGATTTGGGAGAATATGGACAAACTACTGCTTTCACTCCCACTACCATCATTGCAGGAAATCATGATGATGAAGAACAAGCAAGCTCCTCATTTTTAAATATTCCATCAGCTGGTGAAACTACTATTTATGGATCATCTGGTGGCTCTACTTCTATGGTTGATCTGGCAACTGTATCTCATCATTCATTAGAAACTCAAAGTGACGCACCATTAATGACCAGAGGTCATTCCGAATAAATGACTTGTAAATATTTGTGTAATGTGTAATCATTGTATTATTAATTTGTATATAGTAGATTTTATTCAACGCTTTTGTTTATATAATAATATGCAATTAAAATAATATTATAAATATTTTGCTATGGTCCACGTTATCTAAAGACGACACTGAAATCGACAATATTTGAGAGCTAAAGGCCAATAACTTCCAAATTAGGAATTTTAGAGAAAAAAATAAACCGATAGAACTGAAGCTAAAACCTAAGTTTTCATTATTATTATCATAAATTTTTGTGGTTCAAAGTTGATGTTTTCATATACGGGGTTCTCCAGCCGAGAAACAAAATATTTCATTACTGTACTAAGTAAATAGGGTCTAAAATTTCACTTATAACTTATAGTAATAGTAACCAATTTTGCTAGAGCCCAATATTAATATATATGTCTGTCTATCTATCTATTATATTCTAACTTTCAATCCATTCTGATTATAAATCACGTGATATATTTTATAAGTACGCAGTTACGCGTTAACATCCCCAGAAAAAAATCGTTCCGTGGCGCAGTTTAAAAGACAAATAACAACCAATTACTAACATAATTTTTGAAGTATCCACATATCCACAATCATCCACTGACCCACAAGCAATAAAATACATGATAAATAAACACATTCATTATAAATGAACGGAATGGACAGAAAAACCAAACCAGGCCCAAAGGTTAGAATAAACATTAATAACAAAACCACTGATCCCAAAAAAGAACAAATTGAAGACTAGGAAACACCTGAAGTCAGATATGAAGGTAGATAGATAACAATGATGGACAAAACAAAACCATCCCCCAGATATAACGAAATAACTCTTACAATAATACAACTGTCACCTCCACTACGACTAACACTGATAACAGTGCTGAAGATATCAACGAAACAAAGGATCAAGACAAAATAGATTGAAGTTGAAAGGAAGTTGCATCACAAAGCATGTATCATGGCACAAAATGTAACTGGAAAAACACAACAGGAAAAAATCAATATGATTACTTTCAAATTGTCACAATTTCAATCACTTCTATAGTACACAGGACGTGTCCGTGTAACAATTTGTCATGCAGACGTGTTCGTTCATTTACTTAAATTTTCCGGACGTTCGGGACTAGTTATACAAGCCGCAAGTTAACGTGAGAAAATACCTTTACCATAAACGTATTATTCGAACCAATATTAAATCAAGACAAAGCAATTCAAACTCCATTGTAAATCATGTATTGAAAAATTAAGAGAGAAAGGAGGGAAGAAAAAATGGTTTCCAAACAAAAGATCGAACAATTCAACGCCTAAAGAAATTTCTAATTTAACAAAAATAAAATATGAAGCGGAAAATTAGGTGCAACTAAATTAAACTCATTTACAATTGTTTAAAACAAGATCGAGAAAATAATATCACCTTTTGACCAAGCGAAATTAATTAATTAGTAATTAAATAATCCTATGTTAATAATCCAGAGCCTTTATTGAGAGTAGAGGCAGAAAGTTGATATATATATATATATATTTTTAATATGTAATTTGATTTTTTTTTTAATTTAGAGATTGAAATGATTTTGAAGAAATCTTTGATAAATTCAACCAAGATTAAATTACATCCATTATTAAATAATTTAATATATAAAGAACTTATAACCGAATTCTTTAACAATAGTAGCGATAAATATTTTATTGATGATGAAAAATTTAGCAATGATTTTAATAATTGGTTTCTTTTGGGCAATTAATAAATTTGTATAATGGCTTTATTTAACAAATAAATTCTAGAGGTTTTTCATTATGTATTTTTTATCGGTGTTGGCATCTAAACAAAAAAGAATTTTTTAAAAAAAAAATCGAAAATCGGAATCATGAATCACGAATATTTAAATTTACCCAAAAGATTCTTCTAGTTTAGGAATTGCTTTGGTTGAAAGATAAATTGTTATTGTAGGTGCTGGCATTTTTTTTTTAGAGGTTGAAAATCTTGAAATTATTTTATCATCATTATCACATTCTCCCATTCTAACGCTTTTTTCTACCTCCATTTTCGTTTCTTCTTGTTCTTCTTGTTCTTCTATTTCTTCTATTTCTTCTATTACACCATCACCACTGTTTTGTTCTTCATTTTCTTTTTCAACAACAATATCAGCATTGTTGTCTACCATTACTTCAGTTGCTATATCCTTTTTTTTTAATTCTTCAGATTTTTTTTCATTAGGAAAATTTCTTCCAATTTGAGTATATTGATGTAATAATCCATTCATTTCTCGCTTAATTATTTCAACTACTGTAATCGCTTTATTAATAGCTGATCCTTTAGCTGTAAATATCACTACTACAACACTACTAATACTTTTCATATCTTTTTGATTTGTCGTTGTCGCATTCTTTTGAAAGCAAACAATTATCGTAAAATCATTATAATCATTATCATTATAATCATGACAAAAAAAAAAATAAAAATAAAAAAACACAAACCTGAAATACTTTTAATCCTGTGTGAACATATTTCTTTATTTTACCTGAACTCAATATCTTTATACTTTTGGTTTCTGTCGTTTTTGAAACAATTTCTTCGTTAGTATTACTCATTTTGTACACGAATCAGTTTTTTCCACAAAACTTTCTATAATTAGGAAGATTTCCTTTTCATTTTAAGGAAATTTGCCCACAAAGGGGGAAAGACAAAATAAAGTGTCATCGATAGCACATCCAGATTTTTTATTTAAAAATGGTATCTTTATTTCTTTATATATATACACATATAATAAAATGATTCTGTATAGTATTAATCTAATTTAAAACCATTAGTTTTTCTTTATCAATTTATAAACTTCAAATTCTTCTATCAAATGAACATTTTTATCCTTATTTCTAAGTTTCAAATTATTTCTATATTTACCAAAAAAATTATAATAATAATAGTAACAATAAGATTCATTATTAATACTATTATATAATCCCAAGTCATAAAAATCTATAGAAATATCATTAATTTGAATATCATCTGTATTAAAATTAAGATTTTGACTATTATGGTGTATGGCATGTTCAGGATCTTTAACCCTACTCAATATTGAATTATTTATTTGATCATCTATCTTATAAATAAAACTTTTGTCAGTTCCAATTGAATAAGCTTTATCTGGTGATCTCTCTTTTATATTCCAACAAACTGGATTATAGCCACCAACTAATTCACCTGTTTTTTTAAGTTTCATGATGACTACAGTTTGTTCAATATTATAGCATTTATTCTCAAATACTGATCTAGAGAAACCATCACGAGTTCCACTAAGTATTAAATTAAATTCATAAGGTAAATCATTTATATTATATAAACCATTTTTGTAATCAACCCAACTAGAAATTAAATATTTCATTTGTAAATTTAGCAATTTTCCTGTTCTTGCTCTTGGACCTTTTTGTAGTAATAGCTGTGATTGCCAATTATCAGTAATATAGAATTGAAGAAGCTCTCTATAAACTTTTTCATCAAGAACTTTTCTATATGGTGCAATTTTTTCATTAAAATCTCTAAATTTAATTTCCTTGAATCTTATTAATGGAACAATATCATCCAATAAAATGCTCAACTTTTTAAAATCATTTTTATTCCATTCTGATAGTTCCTTTTTTTCTTCCAAATGTTCAATTTGTCCTTTTCCCCACTGAATAACACATTCCCAAGCACCAATCTCTTCTAATCCTAAATTATCTTTTTTTAATATAGACATAAGCATAGGTTTTTCAATATAAGATCGGAAGAGCGTCGTGTAGGGAAAGAGTG